GATACCAATTTTTATAATAGGCCCATGAAACATATGAACTGAGGCAGCACTTTGTAAAAACATATTAAAAAATGTAAACACCACGGTAGCGGGGCAGTGCCTGCAGCTTGTCTGTAGGTACTATACTTATATTTTTGGTGTTTCGTTAAGGATCKTTTTATGTGTTTTTGTTTTAAAAATAATAAAAAGACATTCTAATAGTTTAAATTATTAGTTATAATTATTATTATTAAGTGTGCTATAAAGAACTTTTTATTAAAGGTCACTCTTGATATGAGCAATTTACTTGATATTTGCTGTAATGATTGTAGATTAACTAAAACAGCTATCTGCAAATAGTTTGTTGCTTAACTTAGATAATGCTTTCATTACAAAGTTAATTTATATCATTTTATCATTCTAACTATCTTACATTTTCAATATTCTATAGCAAATTGTGAAATAAGTTMTCCCACACAAATTTTATCAACAAATTGTTATTTTCTTGTGGAATAAATAAATAAATAAAAAGTTTTAACGTGAACATGAATGCATAGACATTTAGACCAAAAATACTATATACTGTTTGCAATTTATTTCATTCATATTTGACTTATACATAATCAAATGTCAAAACTGAKAAGTCTCACAACTTCACTAAATTAAAATTATTTTAAAACCATTCTGGATTTTACCTTTAAATTGTATTCATTTATCAACGGTTTGTTGCTGATAAATTATTAATTTCAAGTTGAAATCAATGTTTTTGATATATACATGGAAAATACTAAAATATTTATATTTTATGTTATCGACATTAAACTTTTGTAGGTAATATTAAATGAATTACACATATTACCTTCAACTACGAAAGAATAATCGAAACTAAATTGAATGTATAGGAATTATCTACTTACTGGCACCAAGTACAGTCGTTTTAATAAAAATATATAGAAAACGACTTTATATTTTTATCTTATTACTATAAGTTATGTTCCAAAAGTGAAGTTAAATATTTATAATAACACCTGGTATCTAATAGCTATTACTGCTATTAAAAATTATTATTACTGCTATATAATATTAAATAAACGACTTTATATTTTTATCTTATTACTATAAGTTATGTTCCAAAAGTGAAGTTAAATATTTATGATAACACCTGATATCTAATAGCTATTACTGCTATTAATAATTATTATTACTGCTATGTAATATTAATAATATTAAATAATACTTATATAATATATTGGATTTTAAAATTATTGCTTTATATCAATAACATTTAATTTGATATTGATTTCGAAAAAACGAAAAGTAAATCACAATATCAATATTGTTGGCCAAAAATACCTTTTTTATAYCTCTACGTTTGAACAATCGAACATTAAACAAAAATGTGAAAAAGAAGACCATATACATTTTTATAATAATTAAAATAGTTTAAAAATTAACTAACAAAATATAAAAATAGGTATTTAAAAAATATGGTTAAATTATATTTTAAAATATTATTAATACAACTTTATGTAATCATTAATTTAGAGATTTTGTTTATATTAATTCTATTTTTATTTTTTTGGTTCGTTGAATATTTGATGTATGAACACTCACATTATTTTGGCTATGTACATGTTGAGTATACCTATTATTAATTACATTACCCTTGTATTCAGTATTCACTATACTGAGATGTGAGTTTTACGTCTTACTAAAGAATTCTTCATAATAATCATGTATCTTAAAATACATTTGGTGAATATCTGCATGTTTTTCAAAATATATTTAAATTAATTTTAATATCATGTATGCATTTTTATTTAAATGTGTTAAAAACCCTCTCCTGTTCAAATTCACAAGATCTGGTTCTGGAGCAACAACTTGACCATACTCATGTTTTAAGCTATTCGCGAGCTTTTCACATTCAATGTGTGTAATTATATTTTTATTTATATACCTATCTAATAACATTAAATTATAATGATAATTAAAAAATAAAATAAAATATATATAAATAAATACTATTTACCCAACTAAGACTTAACTCCAATAAATTTAATAATCTTTATCCTTTTAGGAACGGGCCCTTGCAATTCACGACTTACAATATTAATAGACCGTTCTATTGACAATAAACGTTGGAAGGTATTAAAAGTTTTAAAAATCTACAGAATCATATTATAATATATTATTATATTAATTATAAAAATGTATAATATACTTAATATATTTATGTTGATTTCATTTTATGTGGTAACTTTAAGCCTTAAGGCTTACATGCTATATAATAAAACTACTACCTAACATTTACAAATTGGGTAAGATCAAGTGTGATGGAGCTGATGGACGGTACTGTACCAGATTTTAATCGTAATTGTTTCAGACATATCTTAGGGACGTTCTTACAATGTCTAGTAAGACCGACAGCTAGTGAGATTTTTACCTGTTCATTAACTTATTTAATCGGGTCTTTCGTCATAAATAATATTTATTATTTGTTAAATTATAATTATTCACTATTTGGATAGATTTTAATCTATGTAATAAATATTTACAGTTACCTTTGCCTGAACTTTATACAGGTACTAATGATGCTATTTTCTTCTTTAAAATSATTAGAACAAACACGATCCAATTTTTTAAAAATGATTCATAATGCTTCTTTCCACTTTTTCTCTCCCATTTTTAAGGAATAATAAATCAAATTTAATTTAAAAAA